GTATTCTGAGAAAACCTACCCCAGTGCCACTTTGTTGGCCACAAATCCCACATGACCTGACCTGGGATCGAGCCCGTGACGCCGCGGTGGGAAGTCAGCGACTAACCGTCTGAGCTATGGCGCGGTCTGCAGGAGAGTGTGGTGGAGTGCAAGTGCAACAACAGAAACTGCATGTCGTTTAATTGAAGTGATAAGGTTGAATGTTATATGAAGGAACAGATACTCGTATATCTGCTTTAGAGGTGGCTCAAGCGGTAACGTTTCTGGTTTGTACTGTGGAGGCGTCCGGTTCAAATCTCGGGCGGGACATCGACGCTCACCTGAGTGAAGTTCATCATCGTTTACCTCAGGTCCTCGAAGCAAATGCCGGTGAAGTACCTGCAGTTAGGCCACGACCACTTCCACATCTTTTCCAATTCATTACTCACTACAGTCATTCGAAGCCATGTAGTCTGAGTTACTGTCCAAAGTAAAGCTATCCCTGTAACAGGTCTTGGAGGCCCATAGGGTTGTGAGACGTCGAGGCTCCCATATTTTCTCCAGACAATCAGCTCAGAGATGGCAGTGAAGTTGTCAGCGTTACGAGCCGGCCGCCCTTGATCCCCTAGAATATTCCAAGAATATTCCTGGTACTCATTTCTGTTAGAGGCTGAGTCAACCCCAGGGCCATATTGCGGCTGGAAGGAATAGGCCGCACTGTGGCCCCGTGGCTTTAGTCCGAAAACGAACTATACCGACCGAGCGACCGCCGCTTGTCGGCGAAGTTAATGCCAACTTTAGCGGATGGAGGGTGTCGCTTGGTCAGCGCAACGAATCCCCACGCCCGTTAATTTCGGTTTTCTAGAGAGGAGCCGCTACTTTTCCATTCAAGTATCTCCTCAATTATCCTCACGAGGCTGAGTGGACCCCGTTCCAGACCCACTACTTCTCAGAAAATCTGTAAGCGCCTGGAATTGAACCCGGGACCTGTGGATCTGGAGCCAGGAACTCTGACCGCTAGACCACAGAGGCGGTCCTGTGTTACTGCGAGTGCCGTTAAATAAACTATAAATAAATTAATAAATCATATAATGTGAACTTACCGGGGAGATAGAGTGGGAAGACCGAAGGATAAATTACAGGCTTTAGTGCTTAAAGCATGAAAGAAGGAAGAATATATTTGAAGAGTACTATATTCAGGCTATATACTATGTTCGACTCAGCCTCTAGCAGAATTGAGTACCAGGAATGTTCCTGGGGGTAAAGGGCGGCCGGCGCGTAAGATTGACGACCTTGCCTCCATCTATGAGCCGATTGTCTAGAAAATGTGAGAGCCTCGATATCTCAGAACCCTATGGGCCTCCACGGCCTGTTACAGGGATACCTTTACTTTTTACTTTTTTTACTTTTAATGTATTCAGGGATGTGGCGTCGTGTGGTCCGGTTGAAATTTCCGGACCTTTTGTCGTCACGTCCCTGACAGTAGGCTATTCTTCGGCGTCACCACTGTGAGAACTTCGAACAAGGAGATGTTTCGTTTTCTTTTCTCCTGCTCATCGTAACATCAGGTGAATTCCGTGGTTTATTTATATCATACAAAAATTCGGCTTTACATAACATAAAATGGAATCCTCCTACCTATAGTTCTGTCTATTTGAGACTTCTTAGCGTCACAGGATTGGACCCAGGACACTTTGCAACCCAGCCATTGCAATTGCAATCTCAACAACAGTAGTTGTACGCGTGGGATAGACGTCGATATTTTTGGAGCAACCTATGCGTTTGACGTCATTATGTCGTGCTGTGACGTCAGCACTGACGCACGTCCGCCGGCAGCAAACAGGCTGTTATTAGATTGGAGTGCCTGCGGAAAACAGTCAGTTACACACCAAATCAATACATTCACTGAATATATATCTGTGTATGTCAACATTTGCTACCATGCATGCAGTACGTTAGCGAATGCTTATCAGATAAGGGTCAACTCGATGCAGTGTGCTGATATTGCTATTGGCGCTACGCTGGGGCCTCACTATCAAAAATAATTTTATTTTAGTGTTGATGTTGGCAATCTTGTATAGATTTAAACATCACCAAAGGAAATTCAAACCAAAGAAAGTGTCTATAGTACTTTATGCTTTTCATCTCTCAATAAAGCGAGAATCTTTTATCAGATATAGTTTTCGGCTCATATAATCTCTTGAAAAGTTCAAAGGACCGTAAACTATTTCGAGCAGAAGCAAACAGACATTTCGCTGGTACTAGATTTTTTTTTTTTTGTCGTAGTGATTCGGCTCCGTTACTGATAGGAAAAGAAGCAGAGTGGGGTTTCAGTATGTAACTCGCAAACAGTGGAAGGCAGACGTCAGCTCCACGTGTTCCCCACGTAATGTGTGGGGGGTTCGTGTGTACCCTTCAGAACTAGATATGAAATTTCATAATACGATATTTTACGCTCTCACGGCGTTCAGCGGGATATGACGCTGTGCAGTTTAGTACATCCACATCAACGGTTCGTAGGAACCTGCTGCCTCCATCTTCAGAGTCAAAGTGTTGGAGGCTACAGGTTCCTCTGAAATGTTGAAACTTATCTACCAAATTATACTGCGTCACATTCCAAAATACAGTAATCTTCAAAGATTGTTTAATTTAGAAATTAAATTTCACAAATTAATAAATTATGTAACTCTATGAAGGGCAATTTTTCTTGAGAAGATAACAGCCGTTGAGTCAGTAAGTTCCAGTGTAAATAGAAGGTTCCATTTTCCAAGGATGTGCGCCAAATGAATGCAGTCCCCCACCTCCTACACCCTCTTTCGTCAAGGCCTATTCTAGCTCATCCGTCTTTTTCTCCGTCGTTCTGGATTTCCCTTCTCCTTTGGGTCATAAGTCTGTACCTGTTTCGGATATCTTTTGCCTTCCTTTCCACGCACATGATCTTTCAATTTTTGTTTGTATTATATTTTACTTTATTTATTCATGGCGTCTGTCTCCAAATTTATGTAATTTCTTTAGTTTTATGTAACCTGCTCTTGTACTTCCTTTAAAAATTGCGCCCCAGCAATTTGAACACCATGTTTGTCTCGTTAAGTGCCTATCTCAGTCTCTGCCCCGAGATTGGCTACAGCTTTATGAAATTGTCTGCGCTGCCTCTTTTCTGAACCTGAGAACTTCAGGTGCGTTAGTATTTCGTTTTGCGTAATACGCTTTTATTTTGTTAAGAGATTACAGGAATTGTCATTGACTCGTGTATGCTGACGTATAATTCTATGACTTAAATGAAACTTCTTTCTTACGTATACATGCAGTTGCTGGAATCTTGAAACGCAGCATACAAATGGCTAATTCTGGACTTACTGGGATGCTTCCCATACCCTGTCATCAGGACGGGGTAGCTTTTCGATTCTAAAAGCTACCCCGTCATGTCGTTCAGTGTGGACCCTCTCGTACCAAATTTAATCGAAATTAGTTCGGTAGCTCTGGAGATGAAAGATGTGGACAGACAAAAGGAAGTCGCGACGTTTGTTATCCACTTTGAACTGAGAACGAATCGGTTCCGAGCGGGATGTTGCAGTTTCCCTCCCGCTCGGAACCGATTCGTTCTCACTTCAAAGTGGATAACAAACGTCGTCACTTCCTTTTGTCTGTCCACATCTTTCATCTCCAGAGCTACCGAACTAATTTCGATTAAATTTGGTACGAGAGGGTCCACACTGAACGACATGACGGGGTAGCTTTTAGAATCGAAAAGCTACCCCGTCCTGATGACAGGGTATGGGAAGCAAGAGATTGCTTAAAACGTTCGAATTTCAGTCTATTAGAAGGATTCTTCCGTGGGTTATTTAGCGATGTTGTCAGGAGCTTATGCATGTAGACTCGAATGATAGGATATATATGAAGGATGATTTGGAAAACATCTGCTGAAATCATTCTTAGCCCAACCGAGGCACTATGCCGCGATTTGCCTGGAGGGCTTGGGGGGGGAAACCACGAATATCCTCAGTCAGGATAGCCGATGTTCCAACCGAGACCCGAAGAAAGCACAGCCCCAATGAGAGTCGAGAGCGTTACTAGGGTGTTCAATGGGACATTGTTCCGCATGCCCGCATATGCAAGTTGTTTGTACTCTTACTGAGTCATTGATGAGTAATCTCTGCCACCCATCCTCTTAACCAGCACGTACCGCGGGCTTTCTCCCTGGGGGAAAAACCGTCTGGACATGAAGCTAACCATTCACCACAGTGCAGTACTGAAATTCAGAACGCATGCATTTTTACTCTCTCGTACTTCTTCGGCTCTTCCGAAGATACACCGAGAGGACGGCCCTCTTGCTTCGAACTCAGGATGTCCCGCGTTCCAGGAGGTCTGTTATCTCGACTGTTAGTCAAAATTGTTGTTACCTCAGTCCCTCATGGCATGTTGCCTTCTCGGCTCGCCACCCGATGTTCTGCAGCCTAACACAAATCTGCTTCAGTGTTGTTAAAGTCGGGTCATGTACTATTCCTGCTATTTCCTTGTTCAACGACACCCCTCCGACTGCATGACGTCAACTGATAAGACATTTTTTCTGAAATGACCATGGCATATTTGAAGACAGTATACCAACATTTGCGGGAGTATCTAAGGAAAATAACGGAAAAGCTTTATCCAGCCGGGATCTCGCAATGACGAAATAGGAGTGATAGCCAGTTCATTGCCTTCACATATCGTCACAATCCTATACATAACCATCAATTATACTGTATTTATTGCTCAGAGATAATTCAGTAGTTAGAGTGAAATACACGTCTGGGCTTTGCAGCGCGCGCAAAAATGGTGGACTGGGAAAATGTCAAGATCAAGGGCAGGGCACAACGCGCTCTGTTGTGACGGCGAGCAAGGGAGTTATACGCTTCCTCCCTCCCCCACCTCGGGCTTTGGGGTTAGTAGGTCCGCCTACACTGCGCCATCTTCCTTGCGATATAATCGATACAGATTTACTTCGATACTAAGGCTGTAATAATATTTACCACCAGAATTAAGAAACGCGGTCTTGCGGTGCAGGAATACGAGTGGCCGTGAAAGCGAAGCAGAGGGCGCGCGTATCGTGTGATATGCATCAGTGCTGGCCGGACCACGGCTGTGTGAGGATGGAGTGTAGGGGCTGTCTGCTAGTGCAAGTATTATCACGGTAATGGCTGCGGAACGGCAGAGGGCACCCGTCAGAGTTGGTTTCTATGACATCGAGAGGACTATCGGCAAGGGTAACTTCGCCGTGGTGAAACTCGCCAGGCACCGCATCACCAAAACCGAGGTGAGCACAACGCTGTATCTACTGTACATGTTTGTGAATATTATGAGCGTCAGAACGTACGCCAGACGTAGGTTTGGAGTCCGGATCCGCGAAGGAACTGTGGGAGCAGAGAATTTGTGTGTTAATTGGATGAAGCCGAGTGTTCAGTCCTGACGAAGGTGGGAAGGGAGTTTGTATAATGGACGCAGACCATTGCGTGGGTGTCTGATGTGAGGGTTGGGGGGCCATTAAGCTGGTGCTTGTGTGCGTGACGCGGTGAGTATGATGTATGTTTAATGACGCTCGATCAGCTGCAGAGATAATACGATGTCGGAAAGATCTGAGAATTAACTGAGCGGCTTTTGGAGGAATCGAATCCAGACTTTTCTTGGTGACATCGATAAATAGCAAGATAGACCTGCGTGGGATTGTCTGCACTTCTGTACCCCTAATTGCCCGTAACATAACATTTTAAAACACTGGGTGAGCAGAGTATTCGTATAGTTTTCAAGACCAAGCGTGGAGGACGTAATGATACCCGTGTGGATCGTTGAGCGGAGAATCTCGCATAAACGGGTGCAAATTGGAGGATGGCTGTCGGATCGGCGAGAGTTGTGAGGCTATGAACAACTAGATTAAACTGGTTCAGTGTTGTATACCATGATTGCGGTTAATTACCTGGTCAGCAAGTTTATTATCGTCTAGGTGGCTGAGTTTGTTATTAAGTAACCGCGACAATATTCAATGCAAAATATCTGGCGCGGTTTTAATGCTTTAAACATAATGGCGTTAGGTACGCAATAATTATATTAATCACGTAAAACAGTTCTCTTGGTGACTGACGTTAAGTCGGAGTATTTAGATAGGCGGGTTCACATTGCCGGTTCTAATTAGCCCTAAATGCAACAAAAGCCGGCGTCCACCAGTATTACCAACATCGCAGTTTTATGATAGCTAAGGGGAACGATAGGATTGCACGAATAACTCATAAATTCATGCATATAGTTGTTCTTTAGTGTAACAAGTTTGAAAATGTAGTAATTGTTATGTATTAAAAATTGATTTTGGGGTTATTTTACTATGCTGTCAGTAGGGAGACTTTTGGGTTACTTGTGGGGTGATAAATGAATTGGAAAGGATTTGGAAGGAAGCTGTTATGGCGTAATCGAGGTAATATCCCTTAATTTGTCTTGAGGCACAGAGGAAAACCACGAAAAACACGTGGGTCGGTGCCGCTCCCGAGAGCCCCACAGAGCATATCCCCAATACGAGTCTAGACCGTTACCGCCACGCCAACTCGCCCGGTGGGACCTTTGGTCGTGAAGACGTTTACCAGCAATCTGTTTTGAAATGTACACATGACATCCTGGCTTGTCTCTCTCAGTATGTGGAGAAACGTAAGACGTGAAGAAAGTTAGCTGTGCATGAAAAGTGCGTTTCATTTCTCTCTGCAACATCATTCAGGAGTCCGAGATGGGTGCAGAAACGCATTAGGAAATCATGGAAAGTGTCCTTTGTTTCTGTTTGATTTTCAGACAAATTTGAAATTTTCAAGAAACTTTAGTGAAACTCCTCCGTATGAAATTTAATGAAAATCATTTCATCGGTTCTGAAGCTGTTTATGCGGTTAGGCAGACTTAGCAAAGAACTTCCTTTATAACTCACCAGAAATACAATTTATGCCACTCTTTCGAAGAGGGTTCTCAGAGGTTAAAGATGCGCAATAAGTAACGTTCCTAGTAAAGTTATGTAACTTTCTGCGTAAAACATTTTTTTTCCCCCCGATTTCAAGAACAATTAAAGACAATTAGAAGATTAGATTGGAAGTAGCCCACTTTCTTATCGAAGGCTCTCATGAACACAAGTGGCTGTGATAACTGAACTTAGATAAGATGACATTCAGCGCGAGCCTGAAGTTTCCTTATTGTGTGTGTCATGACAGTACTCCCCCTCCTCCCACCGCCTCTGTGGTCTAGTGGTCCGAGTTTCTGGCTGCAGATCCAGTGGTCCTGGGTTCGATTCCCGGCGCTACCAGATTTTCTGAGAAGTACTGGATCTGGAACGGGGTCCACTCAGTCTCGCTTCAGACTCAAGGAACGTAGTTTGTTTGTTTTGTTTTCTGACCAGGTTTCATTGCATATTCATACTTGAGTTGTAACTAGTACTGAAAGTCGATTTTAGAACGATTAGTATTTGTATTAGTATTTATAAAGTTTGGTGCGTGAATTTCGATCTAGCTCTACTGTAACTTCGAACTTGGGCCGCGCCATAGCTCAAGCGGTTAGTGGAAGCAAGATTGGCAGGGGAAGGCGAAGTACTCGGAGAAAACCTGCCCCAGAGCCACTTTGTCCACCACAAATCCCACATGACCAGACCCTGGATCGAAGCCAGCGACTAAACGCTTGAGCTATGGCGCGGCCCTTTATTAGTTGTTACTGTCAGACTGAGTGTCCCACGTTATCTAGACAGTCGGCTCAAAGATGGCGGTAGGGTTGTCAGCCTTACGCGCCGGCCGCGCTTTTATTCCCCAGGAAAATTTTTAATTAATTCCAGGTACTCATTTCTGTTAGAGGCTGAGTAAACCCCAGGGCCTAGTGCGGCTGGAAGGATTAGATCAATTGAAAAAAATCCAATGAATTCATCGGGACTTGAGGGAGCCTCAACGTCTCACAACACTATGGGCCTTCATGGCCTGGTACAGGGACTGCTTTACTTTTACTTTTACTGTCAAACTGAGACCCAAAATATAAATGTTCGGTTGACCGCCATGTAGTTAGTTTTATGGGCCAGAAGGTGAATCACTAAGTATATAAACAAGAGTTGCACGTCTTTGGCCGATCTGTTACCATACTTCATTTCAAAACCGTAAGTTGAATGGCGCTAGTGGCGCTTCGGCATGACAAGTTCGTGCTTCCGTAATGCTGTTGTTATTGATTGCAGATAATTAAAAAGCAAGAGGTTCGGATTAACTGCACTGGCATATATAACGTTCATACCAAATTTCGTGAAAATCGCTCAGTATTTGAAAGGGACACACACACACATCAGCTTTGTCGACAGTGGGAATTCGTGACTATGCTACCTTGTGTGGGATTTTTCAGTCAACAATAAATTTGTCTTCTTCATGGATTGAGTTATTTTTACTGCCCGCTTTGGCTCCAACTATAGAGTATTTTAATGCTTACTTTAAGCTCATTGCTGTAACTATGTTGAAATATTATTAAAAAAACTCCGTGCCTTTAGTCCGCAAGCGAACTATACCGACCGAGTGACCGCCGCTTTTCGGTGAAATTAGTCCCAACTTTGATGGATAGAGGGTGTCGGGTGATCAGCGCAACAAATAACCAGAGGCCGGATGTGCATTGTCTATGCATTTTTTTTGTATTTACAATAATTTTTTCCCACAATAACAAATCCCCACGGCCCTTAATTTCGGTGTTCTAGACCGGGGCCGCCAGGCAACTTGTGGGATATATGCAGGGTTAGAGTTGGCGCTCATTGTGAAGTGTTTCGCATCCAACAACTTTCCCACTTTGGTATAAATAAAATTGTTTAAGTTGTTGAATACAATCCACAAACACCACCATCATATCTGTTTTCATTCCATAGCTTCAGGTGCCTAAAATCCCGGCGTTCTTTTCGGTGAACCTATGTTATTCTTCTGCCTACTCTTGTATCTTCCAAGAGCTCTCTTCCCTTCAGGATTCCGTACCAAATGTTTTCGCCGCTGCTCACATGCGTGCCGTGGTTCCTGGCCAGTTGTTCTTTTTAATTATTGCAATGTTGTTTCGTGAGGGTTACCGCTTATGGAGCCTCTCATTATGGAATTATCTCAAGCCTCCTGTTGTATCTCCTTTCGAAGCTCCAGATGTCCCCACAGCACTCTTTTCTCAAACATCTTCAGTCTGTGTTCTTCACTTCTTGTTAGAGACCCAAGTTTCACACCCTTGCAAATTGCAAGTAAAAGTGTACAGAATGTTCTGAACTGAATGGGGCCCCGTAACGTACACCTGTTGCTTAGCGGTTAGCCGTAACGTCAGGCGATTAAATACAAGGACGAGGCGTCGTTCTGTGCAGTTTAGTGATACATACAAATGTGGTTGGAATGCGAAGCTCACTCACCATTCACACCTATAGCACAACAGAACTGCTCGGAACTTGGGTAGCTTCTCTGTGCCCTCAGCTGGATGTGCTTGTGCAACTAATGCAGTTTGTAAATGGGCAGCCATTTTTAGAAACTTATATTTAAATGTAAATGACCGTAATTGGTTTAGCTCTTCTGTTATTTCATTGTTTAGTCCTCGCTTTTGATTTTATACTTATTTTTTGGTATTCCTGCTGATTCTGCAATAGGCCTCTGGCTCTTGACATCGTCTCGTAAATAAATAAATAACTAAAATTAATTAATGTTAGTCTTCGCGTGCCAGCTGAATTATTTAAGGAGTTCTCCATGTTCAGCATAGGAGGTGTGCCAATACTGCTGAACTTAACAGCGTGTCACTTTCAGAAGGACCTGATCTTCCCCAGGCGGTATGTTTCCTTTTCATGATCGTCTTTAGCTTGTCGTTATAATTAATTGTTTTATTATATATGTTTCGGTTCTGTATTTATTTACGTATTTTAAGTTATTACCATTAACCCACAGCCGAACAAACTCAGCTTGAGGTCGATCCAGCCTCTAATAGAAATGAGTACTAGGAATCTTCTTCGGGAGTAAAGGGCGGCCGGCGTGTAAGCTAACTTCATCGTCGTCTGTGAGCCGAATGTCTAGAAAATGAAGGAGCCTAACAGCTCTAGGGGCCTCCACGCCCTGTTACAGGAATAGCTTTACTAAACGGTATCCGTACAGCAATGGGAAATCTCAGGCGCACTTACACGGTGTGTCCAGGATCCGTCAGGACTCATTTTTTTTTTAATTTACCTTGCAATGCCATCTGTTGGCGAGTTGTGGCGTTAAGGTTCTTGAAGTTTCAGTTGTGGCCGTCTATAATTTCAAAGCGCAAGCATCACTGCATCATGTG